AATGATAAATGTAAATAAATGGCTTAATGATTCACATCTGGTTCTTAATGTAAAGAAGACGTATGTTTTTCACAAAGATGCACTCTGTAATGATCCCAGATCCCAAAATGTATGTGTCTGGAGAGATCATTCAGGTAGTCTCTTATGTTAAATATCTTTCCTTGATTCTTGATTCCACTTTATCCTTCAAAAAACAAGTGAAGAAAGTATTGCAAATAACTAAATATAATCTTGCTAATTTTAGGTATATAAGAAACTGTCTAACAACTACAGCAGAAAAATTATATATTAATTCAATGATTATTCCTCACTTAACATACTGTATGACAACTTGGTCTCAAGCTAAAGGAACAACACTAAAGCCTATTCTCTCTCTGTATAAGCAGGCATATAAAGTATTAGATAAAAAAAAACAATACTTACCATCACTGCAATATTCTGGGCAAATATGATATTCTTAGTTGGGAAAATTTAACAAAATACACTGATGCCTGTCTGATGTTTGAGATTGTAAATGGAAAAGCTCTCCACCACTTAGTATTTTTATTAAGCAGAAAAATGTAAACATTAGATCTACAAGATCAACTCAGAGAGGAGACTATGAAATTCCTTTCAGGTCCACCTCCTTTAGCCAATCATGCTTTTCTGTAAGAGCTTCTCAGTTGTGGAATACACTTCCAACTGAATTAAGAAATTGTACCATATATCATTCCTTCAGACAAAGTCTTAAAGCCTGGCTTTTCAAAAAACAGACGTGGTCATTTTTAATTTATAAATCTTACTGCTCATTTTACTATTAAAGGGGTCATATGATGCTGCTAAAAAGAACATTATTTGGTGTAATGAAATGTGTTTATGCGGTTTAAGGTTAAAAAAACACATTATTTTCCACATATTGTACATTATTGTTTCTCCTCTATGCCCCGCCTTTCTGAAACGCGACGATTTTTACAAAGCTCATCGTTCTGAAAAGCGAGGTGTGCTGTGATTGGCCAGCTATGCAGTGCGTTGTGATTGGCTGAATACCTCAAGCGTGTGACGGAAATGTTACGCCCCTCACCATACTGTGTGATGCCCTGTCCGGCCGGAGACCCCATTTCTAATAAGTAGAATAAAGGTCTGCATATAGTAGACGTAATCGGGTCAAGCGATTAGTCAACAGAAGAGACAGACGGCTGCACGTGAGTGTCCTGCGTAATACTTGTTTATAGATCTGCTGTTGGAATTATTACTTGCTGCTAGGAAGGAATATTTCGTTTTCTGCCTATTTCTACGTTATATTTTTGTTTGCGTTTG